GGTGAAACATATGAAAAGTAATTTGTCTGATGACTCAGCTAAGTCACAGTCTAAGCAAAGTTTCACTATTGGAGCTAGCATACTGAGGGTTGCTAGCCAACTAAATGGTTCAAGTCCAATTTTCAAGAATGATGATGGGTTCTCACGGAAGTCTCCAGTGAAGAATAAAAGCACAGAAAAACTTCTCCCTAGGAAAACTGAAGGAAAAAGGTTTTCTGAGAGACAGAATTCTTCCCCTCATGAGATGCTGTCACAACTTCTGTTGGCTGCCACAGATCCCCTGAAAGAGTACAGCTTTTTGACTTCTATAGTTGGTTACTTTACAGACCTCCGGAATTCCATCATTCTGGAATGTAACAGACCTGAGAAACATGAACAGTCTGTGAAAATAGAAGACTCTTCTTGGGTTGATAGGATACTTAAATGCCTTCCCGAAGAAATGTTGAAGCTTGAATGTCAGAATCAAGCTGCAGACATTTTACCTGAAACTCCTAGTGAAAATGATACTCCAACTGTTCAACCAACTTCCAACTTGGACTCTGAACCAAAATCCACAAATCAAAGTCCTAAAATGGAAGCAGAGAAGCCCATGGAGTCCTTGAATGAGAGTTCTAAAGAAGAATTTTCACCAACAGCTCTGATTCTAAATTTTACAGACTTGGATTCTGTTCCTATGGTGGAAAACCTGAATAAGATATTCAGTCGATACGGACCTCTAAATGAATCAGATACCGAAGTGCTAGAGAAGAGCAGCCGAGCCAGAGTGGTGTTCAAAAGACGTGAAGATGCAGAAACAGCCTTCAGCAGTGCTGGCAAATATAGTATTTTTGGGCCATCTCTTGTCAGTTACCGGCTCAAATATCTGCCTTCTACACCGCATAAAGCTTCTCCAGGCATAACAAAGCGAGGCAAAAAAAGTACAAAATCCCTGTCTGGAGGCTCAACTTGATGGGAGAGATTTTGTGACTGCAGAGTTTTAGCCATCCATATGCTTTCTTTCTGCGGTTACACAGTGATCCAGGATAGTTTATTCAGTTTTTTAACTGGATAGTGTGTATGAAACTATAGGACCAAACAGTTTGAGTAGCTACTAATTAGGGAATTCATAGCAAGCAGAGGTTTTAGTTAACACTCAGATCATGTTTAATTTACCCGTGCAAAATGATTGAATTTTCTGATTAATTAGCGGCATTTTTGCTTTTGTTTGTTTTTTTCTTACTGCATTTTAAGCCATAGCTGCCACTTCTTAACATGAATGGACAATTCTTAATTGTCGTTCCAATTGTTGTTTTCTTCCATTAATGCTTACACATTGCTCAATCATAC